AATCTGACAGCACTTAGGGGGACTTCCTGCGTGACTGTGCTGGGAGGGTACAAAGAGGGGCAAGACAGGACTCTTTCCTCTTGGTGGCCAGGACACATGCTCTAATAGTTATAACTAAAGGGCAATAAAGCTTGGAGAGCAGAGCATCTCATTTAGACTTAGCCAGTGGCAAGGTTCACGGCAAGGGCTATGGGGCAGGCTTCATGGAGGAGGCACCATTGGTACTGGGGCTTGAAAAGAAATAGAACATGTGTAGGAGGGGATGGGAGGAAGCTTTTCCCAGCCAACACCACATGGAGCAGAACCACCTGGTCAACCCATAAAATTGTAAGAAGTAACAAATCATAGTTGTTTTAAGCCACTAAGTTTTGGGGTGGTTTGTCTCATAACAACAGATAACTAAAACAGACCCCAAAAGTGTATACTCATAGACTTTATTCTAAAGGCCAAAGATTGCCAATTTCCAGATAATAATACAATAATTGGCCTGCAGACATAGTTCATTTGGCTTGCACAGTTTTTTTTTTAATATTTCAGCCAATATTTAAAACTTGGGAAATTTTATATGAAAATCGAGATTTTGGGGTTCTCTTGAAAAATCCTGCATCTCAGCACCTGTGTTCTAGCAACAGCTGGCTGGTTGTCCCCTATGTATGTGGCGGATGCTCTCTGCTCCCTATTGTCTCAGCCCTAACCTGCTTTCTGGCCCCTATAAGCATTTGAGTTTTTGATCCATGCTGTTGGCATGGCAATGGAAAGCCATTGAAGGGTTTCGAGCAGAGAAGGAATGATGAGAGCTGGGCAGTGAGTGATGTATTGGCGGGGAGTGACTCTGGGGCAGGAGTAGTCAAAATTCCAGACCATGAACTCCATCTTTTGGGAAATGCTCCTTCCCTTTCTCTGATTGTATGGTTCCAGTGGGGCTACCATCTCCCTATATGTCCCACCTCCCTGTTCACAATGATTGGTTAAAGAGTGGCACCTGGCTTAAGCTGAGCCAGTCATAGTACCTGGCCCTCCAGCCATACACAACAGATCCAGAGATGGGGACCTACCCATGTTGGACTAATCAAAGTTTTTCCCTAAAATATGGTCCTTAGGGCCAGAAGCAGAAATCCTCAGTCTCTCTCTGGTGGAGCAGGTGAGAGGCATAAGTGGTGACAGCTGCTGTGGCCAAGTGTCCAGACTTGAGGAGAAAAGCCCACGCACAGAGAGAAGAGACAAGGACTGGGGAGAGTCCTGGTGACATTCAAGTCTCTGATCCCATCACTCCAGCGCATTTTCTGAGCCTGGTTCTCCAGCCTTCCTACCAGTTCTGGGAGCTCCCTATTCCCTCTTGATAAATTCCTTTGCTGCTTCTGTAGCCCGAGTTCATATCTTCTTCTTCTTTTTTTTTTTTTTTTTGTAATTTGCAGGGGTTTTGAGGCAATGCTAGGAGGGCTACTCCTTACGCCAGTCAGGGAGAAGCCAAAAGAAGGTTTATCCTTAAACCAAAGAGCAGGAAGGAGGTAGTGCCATTCCCACTGGAAAGTGCCTTTAGCCTGGGAGGCAGGCATCCTCTCTGCCACTGTTTTCCTGCAGAACCTTAGGTAAATCTCTGTGCCTTTCTCAGCCTCCATTTCCCTATCTGTAAAACAGGACCAGGAAAAGAATAGTGATTCTCTAACTGTATTCTGCAACACCTGGGATTTTGTGGAGGGACCACTGTTAAGGATGGTGGTTTGGGGCTGGGGTGGGAAGGACTAGTAGCAGGATTCTGGGCTCCCCTCCCCCACTTCAAGCAACCTCCCCAATCTGTCTTATGTGTTGCCTTTCTGGGAAAGGTCTTGCTTAAGAGGGCTATATAGCTTAACAAGTTTGAAAACCCCTTTGAGGGGCTTTCCAATTCTAATAGTTCATGATTTTGTAGGTTACAGTGGAAAGCATAATGACTTTCACACTGATAATAAAACTATTTTGAATGTTTGCTCTATGTCAGGCATTGCATTAAGAGCTTTACATACATTTATCTTATTTTTAAAAATCCTTAAAGTAACCCTATGATGTAGGAAATTAATTATTATCATTTTGCAGATAAGAACCTGGGACTTGAGGGCTCGAGTAATTTGCTCAAGATCACACAGTAGTGAAGTGGGGTTTGGACCCAAATTGTTTAGAAGGCATGAACTGGAAGCCCACAGGCCAAACCAGCCTTAAGATGTGTGTCTTTTGGTCTGCATGGTGCTTTTTTCTTTTAAAACTTGAATTAGTTGCCAGTATTTAAAAACCAGATGATTTCATATAAGATATGGATTTAGAGCTTTCCCCCAAATCTCCCCCCTTTTTAGATCTGGTAACTGGTAACAGTGGGGGCCTGTATTTCCACATGAGTAGTAGCTCTTTCCTCTAGAAGGGACATGAACTCATTTATGGTACCTGCCTGGCCCTACAGG